CGACCACAGCCGTTGTAAGACTATAGCCGCGCAGCCTCTCCAGCGCCTCTAGGAGCGGCCGCAGCTTGAGTTGATCATCCCTCGCGACGCCATACCTCCACTTCTCCGGCTGGCTCTCCATGATTCGCCCGGTATAGGGGGGAAACCTGCCGTCATCATTGCGGAGGTAGAACTAGCTGTTGTACCAGCCGTGGTTGGATGATGCGAGATGAGCCGGGATGTAGAGGAGCTGTCGGTCTTGGCGCACTTGGAGAGTGCAGCCGTCGACCCTCATCGCCTTTCGCGTGCCCGCCATGCCCGTCGGCTTGGTGGTGAGCCCCGCCCGGAAGAGGTGGAGCCGCAGCTCCCAGTGGGGGGCAATGCCCAGGTATCCCTCATAGACGGTGACAAAGATGGCCGCCCGCGCAATGGAGTTGGGGTTGAAGTTGTGAAGCTCCACGCCGTAGTAATGCGGGAGTGCCCGCATGAACCGGTCCGCCGGCACGGAGGCCACGCTCGTGGAAGGACACAAAGCTCACGATGTAGCCATCGTGTGGCCTCGACTCCGGCTCGCTCCCCGGAGCAATCCACTCCGGCCTGTTGGGGTCGGTGACCGGGCGGAGGAGACCATCGTCGATGAGCGACTGCAGCGTCTCCTCTGACACGTCAGACGGACCCCAAGGATCCACCTGGAGGACAATAGCGCCGCCAGCCATGAGTGCGGTGGAGAACGCGACTACGGCGGTAACACGTGCTCTCGCTTACTCTCTCTCTCTCTCTTCTCCTCCCCCTTCTCCCTTCTTCTCCCCGGCGCTCTCTTCCGCTGTTCTTGACAACCGCTCGAGTGCAGAAAGCGCGAGTGTAGGCGGAAAAGGTAAGGAGGGGCAGGGGCGTGACTCGTCACATATTTATGAGGGAGGGAAGGGGGTGTAATGGTTGGGCGATGAAATCGAGAAAGGGAATTTTTCCAGATCTGGCGCAGTTAATGCGGATCCGATTAAACCGCCCACGCGTCCACCTTTTTCTCATTAACCGCGCGCGCACGGTAACATCCCATCCACAGACATCGCGTCGCATCCGACCACAGCAACGACAGGCGCCGTTCCGTCTCCCCGAGAAACCACCTCAAAAGGCGCACCCACCGTTGTCAGCCGATGGGAAGGGAATATTCCCCACCCGATTCCTTTTAGACTAAGGAACTGGGCACCGAGACCGTTACGGTCCAGAGGTTCGAAGGCTGGGCCCCTAAGGGTCTCGACAGCCGCCTCAGGACAAACAGAGTCAGGGATGACTATGGGTGAGCCCGTACATAGCCGAGGCCCAAGCAAGCGATAGCTTGGGATGCCCTAAGTTGTGTCCGAGACTGGTAGGGAGGTCTCTGAATGGGATCCCACCGTAGGGAGGCACCGAACCCCCGGGGCCAATCGAGCGGCCCTAGGACCCACTAGAGAAGCCCTCTAGTACTTTTGGAGCGCGTCTCTGGACCGCTAGCCGACCCCTATCAAATGGGGCACGGGCCTCCACTTGGACTTACCCGATAATAGCTCACCGGAGGTGTCACTGCTCGCGCCCACCGAGGGTAGCCTGACATACTCCACCCCTCCTTTCGAACGAAAAGGATGTGCGAGGGCCGCCCAAAAAAGACAGGGAAACTCCTGATCGCCCTCTTGCTCTGCGCAGAGGCTCGGGGGCTCTTTCTGCAACCAAGCCAAGACCCAGCGACCCAAACTCGCACTCAGGGGCACGACAAACACGATAAAATCCCTCACTCAACAAGAAAAAAGCCCCTGGAGGAGTAAATCCACTCCTCCAGGGCCTCGGGGGCTACACCCGACGGGTGCGCTCGCACGCACCCACCGAGGCCTCGAGCACAAAACACAATCTCGACGGGAGCTGCTGCGAGCCAAGTCTCGTCAAAACCTCAGGGAGAGTGCTCGCACTCCCCCCGAGGCTTGGGGGCTACTGTCGAATACTATAAAAAGGGGTACCCTAAGCAAGAACCGAAAAAATTGCTTAGACCTTGTAAATATTGAAGCCAAGAGACAACCACGGGGCCTCAGCCGACTCTCTAATTCACCCGAGACCCACGCCGCAAGGCCTCGGACAAGGTACCAATTCTCTACCTCGCCTGAGGCCCCGCCCGAAAGGCCTCGGACGAGGTACCAACTCTCTGCCTCGCCCGAGGCCGGCTCGGCAGCTACCCCGTCACCGCCACCTCGACCGAGACATCACGTCCAACTAACGCAACCCACCACTCCCGCATCGTCAGCCGCACGATGGCATAGTGCAGCGGAGTAACTGACAAGACGGAAGTCGCATCAACGCCCTACCATCCGGGATAGGACGGGCGGGGGTCACCGGCCGCCAGTGCTTCGCGATCGCGCCCACGACCGATGCCCAGACGCACACTATCTTTGCCTAACCACTGCTCCAAGGACAGTGCGGCGTGGAGAGTCAAGTACAAGTCCCTATAGCCTCGGAATCAACGAACAAGACCAACTGCTCCCTCCGAGCCTCGGCTATCCGCTTCTGGGCTCCTGTAGCCTCGGGACTTGTGCCTGCCGAGCCCCCCACAATGGTTCAGCCTCTGCATCGACTGGGCCTCGGTTTTCTATGTTGTCAACACTCTAGCACCGGCACGTCGCCCACAGAACGCGCTATACCCTGCGTCAGGCTACAGGAGCCCCCACGTCGCGCACAAGGCCTAGCTATTGTAGCCTCGGAATCAGCGCGCCCGCGCCATCACATCAACCCGGCATTGGCACTCCGCACCAGTCAAACCTACAGTAACCCGCTCACCTCCAACAGAAGAAGGCGCTCCTGCCACCATGGGAACGGGCGTGACCGGCGCGTCACTCCAGTGCACCAAGGACAAGACCGCTCTACCGACCATACCGCCACAGTGACAAGCGCAGGACTCGGACATGCCGCCTCCACCCACAAAGCGCCACGCAGCAAACACATGTACCGCCCCTGTGCCTCCCTTCGACTATAAAAGGGGGTAACCAGGGCCGCTCCTAAGGAGGACAACACAGACGAATAGACACACACTCACGGAGACATCGCTCAGATAGACACACACGCAAGCAACGAGCAACACTATGTAATACGCACGCTCCTCACTGCAAGAGATCAACGTCTCAAGCAATCCACGCCGCTCCACGCAGAGACCTGAGACTAACTCCCTCGCCCTGCTTGTAAACCCCTACTACGAGCACCTCGGTGTAAGGAATACAAGATCGCTCTCCCAGACTGGACGTAGGGCACCTATTGCCTGGACCATTATAAACCTTGTGTCTCTTTGCATCACCATCCGGGATAGGGACACGCAGTACATTTTCACTCGTTGGTTGAGGACCCGCCGGTCCAAAACACCGACACCAGTAGAACAATATAATAGACCCAACAAGTTAAATTCCCTAAGGCATGTTAGGACTAGTATGGTGGACCTCTGAACATTAGAACTACAGAGTTCCACACATGCTATTGCAAGTCGTGCTTTATTTACTTTTCCTAAGGCATGTTAGGATTAGTGGCAGGACTACTTACTTTAGCTACATACAGTTCCACACATGCCATTTAGTATTGTAGGTTTGGTCCATGTACCACGCTGGGTTAATATTAGAATGTGTTTGCCTTTAAAAGTTTATAAGGTTTCTTAGGTTATGGTGCATAATATATGTTTATATGTCCGAAAAAGGAGAACAAATGTTTTAAGTGTTGCAGTGATAAAGTTAGTTGATGGTTTTGTTCAAAAAGAGCTCGTATCGTTATAAAACATGAAATAATGTAATTGGAGGCCTGTCGGCCTCTCGATAGCCGACAGGCCTGTCGGCACTCCCAATGCGGACATGTCGGCCCTCTAGATGCCGATAGGTCGGCGTCGGCTGCCACGTCACACTCTATCGGCTTTGGGACTGCCGACAAGACCTCTCTCGGCTGCTGGACTGTCGACATGAGGCCTTATCGGCCTTCCAAGCGTGTCGGCCTTCCAAGGTCCGACAAGACCATGCTATATTTGCACTCTTTAATAACAACTTCTAGATTTGTAATTAATCATTAAAAAATATTATTTAAAAAAAATTCCCCGATTGAGCTGATGTCCTGTGACCAGCGTATTGTCCTCAGGACGACAGTTTGCAGTTGCCGACGAGCCCAAGGTGGACGCCGGCGACGCTGCGTCCCACGGTCCCCACCTACGGTCTACGGACGGGCGACAACACTGAACCATCCATGTGAAGGAGTGGGTTCCATCTGAAAAGAAAATTCGAAGCGCCGAGCGTCCATTTGGCGAGCGGCGGCGGATGATCGGCATTCGGCAGAGAGCCAGAAGAAGAGGACAGAGCGCGCTATACGATCGGCCGTACATTCAACTTTCAGTTTCGATTGATTTCATGAATCAGGTCCGGGAGCATTCAACCTTCCCCTGAAATTCAGAGTAGTCTGCGTACAAGGTAGTTTCAGTTCAGTACATTATTCTTCCCACTTATTTCCTTCCTACATACTGCAATACAGGAAGTGCAAGGAATCCGTACACTTTTCAGGTGGTAGGATGAATACACAATCACAATAAAATACAATAGCAATGCAGTGCTGACACTCAAGCGTCCACTTCTTCAGCCTTAGGAGAAAACGTAGACCTCCTCAAACGATTTCCTACCAAGAATGCATGCACGCATTAGTCTAGCTGATGAATGGATTGCACATCCGCTAGTAGCTAGGTAAAGATACAGAGACTCACAATTTTTTTCCGGTCGGGCTGTAGTTGTAAATCAGGTTATCAAGCACCTTGTCGGCCGGAGGCCTGTTTGGAGACTTGCGTGCTTGGCTGTTTCACTCGGAGAGAAGGGTGAGGTAATAAAGCATGCTCACCATTTGTCTTTAATCGTTCTTGCAGATTTGATTAAAAAAGGTCCTTTTGTACACATGTTTAACTCAAGACATCAAAGCGCTATGACTAGAATTCCTTAGAAGGAACACTACTAAAACTTCGGTTTATTTATATTTAAAAAACATAAGTTTCAAAGGTAAGAGACCAACATAGTGAGAACCTGAATAGGCAGCGAAAGGAAAGGTGTGTAGTGTTTGATCAATTTCTGGTATATTTCCACAAAAAAATAATAAAAGATGGTGGATAGACCCAGAAATAACCAGATGAAGTATTCCCTAACTTCAAATATACTAGTATAAATAAAAGGTTACAGCCTGCAACAACAAACCTGATAAAATGATTGGCAAAATGTTGAGTAACCTGTACTGCATCTTCGCTGTGTGGAATCACTGGGTTCCTCCACTCAAAAATGGCTTTCTGCATTAAGTGAGGGCAGTTTTATTGATATATAAAGCATTAGTATTTGGTGAGTGGCCACAATTTGATATGCTGTGAATATTAATTCAAGAAAATGCAGTATGCCAAAAAAATGGCAGATGCAATAAGAACAAATAATATGAAAACTCCCAAAACACCTACCTCAGGGTGCCATTGTGTGCAAGTGATTGTGTACTTGTGGGCTTGTACGGTTGAGACATAGACCTGATTTTATACAAACAAAAGAATGTTAATTTGTGCATTGGAAGAATTGATGAGCATTAACCCGGATAAGCTACATGGGGAACATTAGAAAAAACTCATCAAAGTTGTTCTGCTTATAGCCTTATAGTAATGACTTAACACCATAGATTAGTATGTAGTAGCACAATTGTTACATACCTTGCCGTTTTCATCAGGTGATGTAGTCAAGATTTTGAAGAAACTTGACAGTGCATCGTTCTCTTGCAATCGCCTTGGTGATATACCATACTTCACCCAAATAAAAAGCAGACATGTTAGGGGACCTGAATTTGGAACTAAGTTTGGTTGTTCAGTAATGCTATCAGAACCGCCAGCCATACAAGGATCGGCAAGGATTAAGGCATTGAGCCCAGCCCATAAGAAAGTAGGTGCGGTGCTGAAATTTTTTAAAAAAAGTAAGCAGCACCAATGGTGGAACTTACTTTATGCTGTTGCATGACAAGACAGCTGGTGCTGACTTTCTTGATGAGGTCAGTGTCAAACCTGTGAGCAATTGCCAGTCAGTAGTTAGAACAAGTGGAATTCACTGTGTACTTGCCACATCTTCTCATAAGCAATTTATTTCCGTTCCTTTCTTCAAATTAACCGAGCTCTATTGTACTGCATGTAGTTCTGTATGAGTAATTAATGAAGCTATATGAATACATAAATACGTTGGCTTAACCCATTTGCATATTCTACAGTTTCAGTTTTGTTAACACGGTAATAAAAAGATGCGCGCTGTCCCGTGGGACGAACCATCCTATATAACATTTACTTGCCCCATCTCTCGGACTATAGGATAATTTGTCTAAATTCTAAATGTTCCCGTCAAGCAGTATCGCAGTAACAAATAGAAGACTTGGTTAGCATGAAACAGGCACCTTTGAAACACTGAGCCCTCGAAATCATAACTGGGAAACTGAAGAGTAGATGTGATAGGATTTCTGATCCTACCAGGAACACTACGAAGCCTATAGGGGTGAGAGGGAGGAAGAGCTGGCTTGGGACCTCGCTGCCGGCGAGCAGGCGCCGTGGCGAGGGTTGTGCGTGCGTGAGCAGCGAGGCAGAGGAGGCTAGGACAAACTCCCGGCTCCCTGAGGAAGCCGGAAACAATATATTATTTCTGCTTGATCCCCAATCATTTTACAATTCATCTATATATAGTTCTTCTAAAAATAGGAAACTGATTTGGCAATAGCCAATAATTCTAATATAGATAATTATCATGGGCCCTAAGCCCATGCACCAGGCGCCCAGGTCAGCCACCCGTGGGCCTCCTCCTTGCATACTGGACTCCGGTCATAACATCTCTCCCCGCCTGCAAAAACAGCTCGTCCTCGAGCTGGAAGTCGGGGTAGTCAGCACGAAAGTCGTCGAGGATCTCCCACGTCGCGTCATCTTCAGGAAGGCCATTCCACTTGATCAAAACGCGCCAGACCCCGCGGAGGAGAGTATCGGCGGCCTCCGTGCGGGCCGTCCCCGGCCTGTAGGGCAGAATGGGCGGTGGAGAGCGGCCGTAGACGACCTCGAAGGGCGTAGCGCGGAGGGCGGTATGGAAGGAAGTATTATAGCAATACTCCACCCACGACAGCCAGTCCACCCACGCCCGAGGCCGGTCACCTGTCACACAGCGCAAATACATAGCAATCACCTTGTTGACCACCTCAGACTGGCCGTCCGTCTGAGGATGAAAGGCGGTACTCATGCGAAGCTGCACGCCCGCCATCTTGAAAAGGTCCCGCCACACATGGCCAGTGAACACGGGGTCCCGGTCGCTGACGATGGAGAGGGGGAACCCGTGCAGGCACACAATACCGTCGAAGAAGGCACGAGCGACCGATGTGGCGGTGTAGGGGTGACCGAGTGCAATAAAATGCGCGTACTTGGAGAAACGGTCGACGACGGTGAGGATGACTGACTTGCCCGCCACCTTCGGCAGCCCCTCGATGAAGTCCATGGAGATATCTGCCCACACTTGGGAGGGTTTATAGGGGCTGCAAAGGTCCCGCCGGCCGCAGCGTGCATCCGTCTTGTTGCTGCCGGGCACGTGGTACAGGAACGCACCAAGTCCTGAACCAGCACCTTGTCCCGCGGAACGTAGAAGTCGGCGCGGAGGCGATGCAGCGTCTTCTGGATGCCCTCATGGCCGGCCGCATGGGCCAGCAGGAGCACCTGGTGGCGGAGATCCTCATGGTCTGGCACATAAACGCGAGAACCATGGAGGAGCCCGTGGTCGAGATGCCACGACTCGTCGAGCTCGCCGCCCTCAGCTCTTTGCCGCAGCAGCAGCGTTGGCCGTCCGGCTAATGACGTCACACACGAATGTCCTCCAGGAGGGAGAACGAGGGCCCTGACACGGCCATAGCCGCCCCGAGGGCTGAAGCAGCCGCGCCGTCCGCAACATCGTGGCGGGACAAGGCGTCTGCCACGACATTCAGGCGTCCCGGGCGGTACTCCACCGTGAAGTCGAAGCCAAAAGTTTACTGATCCACTGGATCTGAGGAACGGTGGACAAACGCTGGTCAAGCAAAAATTTGAGACTATAATGATCGGTCATAACCGGAAGGGCCGCCCCCATAGATAAGGGCCCGCCAATGGCGCACCGCTGCACTAATCCGATCGCTCGCGTCGCGTTAAGGCGGCGAGCTTGAGATGTCGAATCGCAAAGGGCGGTTGAAGTAGGCGAGGGTCCCGCGCCCGGTGGAGGACGGCGCCGAACCCCGCACCGACGCGTGGCCGCATTGACCACAAAGGTCTCGGCCGGTTCGACATCTGCAGGGGCGGGCCCATCCATGTCAAGGCGCGCGCTTGAGCGCCTCGAAGTCAGTAGTCGCTTGTCGTCCCCACGAGAACGCGTCTCGCCGCAAGAGACGCGTCAGCGGGGCAGCGATGATGCCGAAGTCCTTGATGAATTTCCGGTAGTATCCCGCCAGGCCCAAGAAGCCGCGGAGGGCCCAGGCGGAGCGGGGAAGCGGCCATGCAGCCACGGCGGCGACCTTGTCGGCGTCCATGGTGACACCGCCCTCGGCTATGACATGGCCCAGATAAGCCGGACGGCGCCCCCCTGGGAGCACTTGGAGCGCTTCAGATGTAGTTGGTGCGCTTGCAGGGCGTTGAGGACGATGTTGACATGTCGCAAGTGCTCGCCCACGACGAGTCAGAGATAAGTATGTCATCGAAAATACCAGCACAAACCTCCGGAGGTAGGGGCGGAGGACGCTGTTCATCAAGGCACGGAAAGTGGCGGGGCATTGAGAGCCCAAACGGCATGACAAGGAACTCGAAGTGGCCATGGTGGGTGCGGAACGCCGTCTTGGCGATGTCGTCGGGGTACATCCGCACCTGGTGGTACCCGGAGCGGAGGTCAAGTTTGGTGAAGAACCTCGCCCCGTGCAACTCATCTAGGAGTTCGTCGACCACCGGGATCGAGAACTTGTCCTTGGAGGTCTTCGCGTTGAGAGCACGGTAGTCGATGCAGAAACGCCAAGACTGATCCGCCTTCCGCACCAAGAGAACGGGCGCGAAGAACGGCGACGTGCTGGGCCGGATGATGCCTCGCGCCAAGATAATCGCAAGATCGCTTTCAGCTACTCGCCCTTCGCAACAGGTAGGTAGAGAAGCACCGCCACAGGGGCGGTACCGGGCAGCAGGTGGATGTGGTGGTCATAGGGACGCGCCGGAGGGAGCCCCGTGGGTTCCGTGAAGACGGCGGCGTGCTGCTGAAGAAGGGCGTCCAGCAAGGGCATCCGGGAGTCCGGTACCATCGCGGCGAGCAGCTGGGTAGAGGCGGCCGGTTGGGGTGCCGACGCGCCGGCCACCCCCTGCCAGGTGATGCAGCGGCCGTTCCTCCAGAACGATAGCGTGAGGGCCTCGCAGTCCCATAGGATGGGTCCCAAGGTCCGGATGAAGTCGAAACCGATGATGAAGTCAAAACCGCCCAAGTTGAGGCCAACGCAGGTGACGGCGAAGTCCTCGTCGTAGATGCGAATGGGCACGTTGCGAGCAATACCCTCGCAGGGCATGCGGTCACCATTGGCCACCGTGATCCGCAGGTGGTCACCACCGGCCGGAACTAGGCCGAGGCGACGCATGGTCTCCCCGGCCACGAAGTTGTGCGTCGACCCGGTATCGAGGAGGGCGAGGAAGCGTTCCCCCTTGATGGTGACGGGCAACAGCATGGAATTAGCCGCCCGAATCCCTGCAACAGCCTGAAGAGAAACCACGAGGGCGTTAGCGGCGGGCGGCGCGTGGGCGTCCTGGTCGACCGGGAAGCCATCCTGGGTGGCGGCTGCCGGCTCGTCGTCGAGGTAGTCGTCGCCCTCTAGGTAGAAGAGCCGCTGGCACACATGACCGCTGAACGTAGGGCTCGTCGCAGCTTGAAGCACAACCCCGACGGCGACGTTCTCCTGCTCGCTCGCAGAGACAAAGATGAAATTGGCGCCTGGCGGGCTGCGATGGCCCCCTGGACCGGTGGGGGCACGGCCCCTGCCACGGCCGGGGCGACGTTAGGGCGCGCTGCATATTTGTGCCCAACCCGACATTTGTGGTGGTGGTCGGACGCCAAGACCGGTGGTGGAGGCGCCGGCGTATACGCGCAGTCCTCAAAGGCCCGCGCTAGGTACATGGAGGACTGGAGATCCAGCGGCGCATGCATCTGTACCTGCTTCCTGATGTGGTCCGGGAGGCCGCCCACGTACAACTCCGCCTTTTGGCGAGTGGAGAAGTCGCGGGCATGGCAGAGCACGGCATTGTAGCGCTCTGAGTAGTCTCGCATGAGAGAGAAGGGGGAGACGGGCGAAACTCAAAAACGGGTACCCATAACCGGCGGTCCAAAACGGAGTGAGCAGAGGGCTCTGAAAGCTCCCATGGTAGCATCCCTCGCCTTGCTCCAGGCATAATACCATGTCTTCTTGCCAGCCAGCGCAAGTGGTAGGACGCGAGCCAAGTCCTAGACGAGGCCGGCGTCTGCTGTCCCCTGAAGAACTGCTCGCTCTGGTTCAACCAGTTTAAGGGGTCCACCGAGCCATCGAATGTCGGGAACTCCAGCTTGTAGAATTTGGGCCCGGCTTGGGCGCCACCCAAAGCGAAAGCCGCAGCAAGGCTGGGGTCGACCACCCCGTGTCTTGGCCGCCGAGGGGTGGAGGTGCTCCACGAACAATGGTCCATCTACCCCCATAGAAGATGTCACCGGCGGGGTAGGGAAGAGGCGGCAATCGTCGATGACGGAGCCGAAGGCGCTGGCGTAGAGGAGACGGCTGTCGAGTAGAGCGGCGCGGAGGCCGCCATCTGGGTCTGCAGCCAGGCGGGCAACGGCGACGGCAAGCTTGGCCACTGCAGCTGATGGAGGGGAACGCTGGACCCCGAAAAGCGCATGCCGGTAGGTAGGGACACCGCCAAGCTTACTTTGTGGAAGATGCGGTCGTCGGCGGAGGAGTCGGAACGGCGGCGGACGCGTTCTTGGACGAGGCCGCTCGAGCAGCCTCATCTCCCGTGATCTCGCGGCTGGATGTCGAGGGACGACGGAGGCCAACGCATGCAACGTGAGGGGGCCCCCGGAAGAAGCCGTTACATCGGAGATCCCAGAATTCACGGAGGACAACAAGCAATGCGGTGGGGGGTGACGGTCAATGCGGCGTGGTGGGTGTAGGGAAAGGCGACATCGTAGCTCAGGAAGTTGATACCGCATTGATAGGATTTCTGATCCTACCAGGAACACTCTGAAGCCTATAGGGGTGAGAGGAGGAAGAGCTGGCTTGGGACCTCGGCTTAACCCATTTGCATATTCTACAGTGGCGAGGGTTGTGCGTAACAGCAAAGGAGGCGAGGAGGCTAGGGCAAACTCCCGGCTTCCTGAGGAAGCCGGAAACAATATATTGTTTCTGCTTGATCTCCAATCGTTTTACAATTCATCTATATATAGTTCTTCTAAAAATAGGAAACTGATTTGGCAATAACCAATAATTCTAATATAGATAATTATTATGGGCCCTAAGCCCATGCACCAGGCGCCCAGGTCAGCCACCCGTGGGCCTCCTCCTTGCATACTGGACTCCGGTCATAACAAGATGTTTGATTCAGGGCGTCAAATTTCTCCAAGATATTATTGTCCTAGCACAACAGCAAAAGAATATTTATTATGGCCTACTTGTCAAAGCAAACAGGAATCAATCATGGTGCCTTCATGGAATAGAAGGCCGCAGCACTTTGCTCCAGTACCAAACAACAGGCAAGCAAAAGATATTCTTACTTCAAACTAACCATTAGTCTTCCATCATGCGTACAATTTTATCGATTTTACAATGGTTAATAAGTTGGCCAATTATCTTTAATCTCTCCATTTTAAATTGTAAGTTGTTTTAGTTTTGTACTAAGTTGAATTTGTCTAATTTTGACTAAATTTGTAATGCACTATAAAAATATATTTGTAGTGCATCTTCTTTGATGTTGTAGATGTTTAGGCATCTTCCTGTCAAAACTAGAGAAATTTAACTTAGGTCAAAGCTAAAATAACTTACAATTTAGAGCAGAAGGAAAATATTTTAGTAATGAAACTTGCAATATAGTAAATTTGTGAAAAGTTAAGATACCTTACTGACAATCATGCCTACAAGCTCAAAGCCAAGACATTGGGCAAATAAAGGAAATTGTTCACCCGCGTCATTCTTGTCCAAAACATACTATAAAATGAACAACATAATAAAAGAGGAACGGTTAGAGTAAGTCATGATTATTTTGTTCAATATCGTTCAAGCTGGAGCATTCAACATAGTTAAATCTGAGGTTGTGATACTGTAGTGAGATATTCTAATGCTATTAATAACATCATTAGAAGAAAATAATACATAGCACTGAATTGTAACCCAGGTGTTGCGAATATATCGATTGTATTAATTTCTAACAGTGTTCATAATCACGCATCGTACCTGAAAGACTTTTTTTATTGTCTCAAAATATAGGCCTCGCTTCGCTGATCCACCAGTGAACAGCACGCCATTCACCAAACTCAACCTCTGCAGGGAAGAGTAAACAATAGATAACACATGTTAGAAACAAATTAACGTGTGAAAGGGACAACCACACCAATCGATTAAACCCTTAAGTCCCATAAAAGATGTAATTCTAAAATAATACTTATTCAAACGATTTAAGGTTTGACTAAATTTGTATAGGTAGATATTAATATTTATACTATACTAAATAAGTATAATTAGATTCGTCAGGGAATATTTCCACCGGTTTAGTTTATAAGGCATTTATGAATGTCAAGGTCAAACTTTACAATATTTGACCAATTTATCTAATAACTTTTAGTTATTGTTATATAAACCTGATATGGTTAGATCGTAATCATATGTACTACCCAACAATAATCATAAGTTTATAATTATAAATAATATAATATAAAATAAATAAATAGTTAAAGTATAATTTGAGAGATTGTGCTATGTCAAATCTAGCTTTATAAACTAGACAGAAGGTTATTTTTATATACATCTATTTAAGATCATAATGTTGATAATATTTTTTATGAACTTAGTTAAATTTAAAATAGTTTGATGTAATCAGATTTAAAATTACTTTTTCTGACAAAAGTAACTCAATCGGCGAGTGCCATGGGAAATGACAAGACGTGGATGAAAACGACAGCAAAAATGTTCAGTAGCTAGCGCCAAAGACCGGATAGCCTAACGCTTGGGATCTGGCCCCTGGCGATCCGATTCAGATCTAATAAAGTATAAGGAGCAACTTTAAAAGGCGCTTTATATTTTTTTTTGTATTCATAGGAATAGAGATTGGTGGAAAAAAAGTCTCCAGCAATTTTTCTTCAATTGAAGCATCTCCAAGAATCTTTTTTAAACTCATTTTCTAAATCATTATTTGGAAAGCCATTTGAATAAAAGAACACTCTCTATAAATCTTTTCATTAGAGTTGCTCAGATGAAAAAAAAATAAAGAGTGATTTTTATTCCAATTACTCTATATATGAGGATTTAGAGGATGAATTTAAGAAAGACCATTGGAATGCTCATGAAAGGGGCTTCATTGTCCCCATCGGGAGTGGGTCGGGATTTGTTTGGAGTTGGATGACGTCCTATGTTAAGTTCAGGATCTAAACGACAATCGTGACAAATGTGGGGACTTAAATTGCCATTTTGAGAGTTAGATAATACTCTATAACAAGCTTAGGATCTGAAAATACATTTCGAGAGTCTAGGTAACTGCGACATCTTGTCACAACTTCAAAGACGGCTTGGGTATTTTACTGATTAGACTGGAAATTTAACATAACTCAAGGGGCAAAACCACAAAAATACTATAGTGAGTAGTGAGAATTGACAAGCACAACTGCAGTTGGCCAAGAGCAATATGCCCGTATCCCAATTCGCGTATGCAAAAACATGAAACGTGTATTTACTTGCGAGCACATCAAAGCTACTATCGGTAGCTCTCTGCGAGAACACGATCGACCGGGGAAGAGAGGAAAAGTTAGAAACCAGAGGCAATGTGCGAAGCGCGCACCTCGAGCAGGTGCTCCTCAGGCTCATTGTAGATGATCGGGATGACGCGCGCGCCGCCGGCCTCGATGAACTTGACGTAGGAGGCGGCGATGTAGGAGGTCACGGTGGTGTTGCTAATCCTGCCGCCGGCGCCGTCCCCCGGGTGCGAGACGATGCCGATGACAGGGCGGTCGTACACGGCGGGGTCCGGCGGCGGCGCGGCGCAGGCTGCAGCCCCCGCTTTCCCGCTCGTCCGCAGCCGGATGACCCCTGCCGGTGCCGCTGTTGCCTCCGACGGCGGTGGGGCGAGGAGAGCGGCCAGGAAGAGGAGGGGGAGGAGCAGGTGGGGGCAGCGGCGCGAGTCCATCGGCAAGAGAGGCCGCTCGTCGCCCGCTTGTGTTGTGCGTGTGTGTGTGTGTGACGGGGCCGGAAGCGAGGTGGCGGGTAGTTAAAACGGCGAGGGGGCTCCGGAGCATGGGCGAGAACATCTGTGCTGCGCTCCCACCCCCTCGGATGCTTCTCCCACTTCAAAAAAAAATCAAAATATGCAAAAAGAAACAAAAAAAAGTATAAATGGCTAGACGATGTAAAAATGCATGTGGAATTTAGGGATAAGCAAAATTTTGTACAAAGAGAAATAAAAAAGACAAATCAGCCCATGAATAGGTGCGATTGTGGATCCACGTAAATAACACTTGACCCAACAAACATGCTGATTTTTTTTCGAGAACGTGCTTAGCACGTGTTTCATTAGAAAAAAATTAGAAGGTTTATACGTCCAGCATCACATCACAACAAGGTATCATGAATAATGGGGTTGAACACGAACACAAGACACCGCAAGACAATGGAACGCACACTGTTATAACTAGCTAAGAAACTAAATGTGCGACTTCTAATGTTGAACAAACCCTTGCTCAAGGCGGCTGCGCCGCCCGCTTCCCACGAGCACCAGCCATGGGAAGCGCTCCTGCATTGCTTCGCGCTGCCCTTAACAAAACCCAATGCAATCAACCGTACTAGAAGTACGACTATCATATCGCCGTCGAGGCGTCGACTATCGGCCGGCCATCATGCCGCGCGCGTGAGTGGATGCCTGAAGTCCCACCACCCCACACACGTGCCACAGCCATGTGGACATGACGTGGTCACTTGCTGGATCCGGTGCTGCAGGGATTTTTTTTCTTAAATGGGACCGAACGTGTGTGAGTAGGAATGTGTGCGCGTGAGTTACTCGTGTTCTAAATCTGCTCAAACAATCTCATCGGTATTTATTTGAACACATGGTTAGCTGTCACTGCTACTGATGGTGTTAAAAAAAAGCCGCACACCTGCCATCTCAGCTGTGCTAACGTGAGCGCTCGCCCGCGCTGCTCACCTTCGATATGATCGGCTTCTTCGCAAACACGCCCGAAGTCACTCCTTCGACTCGCGTGTGCGGCGCCACCGCCACGTGAAACGCCGGGCCGTGCATTTCTCGCAGTCCAGAGAGCAGCATGCTTTTAGGTTGGCTGGTAGTTTCTGGGCTGATAAGTTCGGTTAGTGCTGGTTTATCGTAAGAGAAAAATATTATACCATGGCTGATAAACCCTGGCTATAACCAACGAAGCGAACATGCTGATTATCGTCACGCGAGAACCGAGAAGGGAAGCAATAGCAATCGGCAATTCGGCGTTGACCTAGCTAACATGTGAGGACATGCATGTACCGCACAAAAAAAATAACAATAACAAATCTCAGGCTCTCAGCTCCTCGTGAGAGTGCACACGTGAGGACAATGCTAAGACCTCAAGTCACATGCACATGCACATGCATCATGTATGCACGTGATCAGTGATATGGATCCATTTAAAGTCATTTCTTTATCTACTCTGCACATGAGAGTACGTAGCTTGAAGCTACTCAACCTACAACTGCTTACTTGTTAAACAAAAACCCTACCACTGCTACACAAAGCATTTTTAGCTAGTATCAAAATTGTTACGAAATATTTTACGTGTGTGAATCATGAACACATGCGCGTGCGCGTGGATTTAGGAAATAAACAAATGAGAAGTCTTTGGACGAGCTGATGAGCTGCTCACCGGCTGCCTCGGCTGTGTTGCAGGACATATCGGACATTGCAGAGAGGGGAGTTTGCTGAGCTCGCCGGGAATGGCCGTAACCACCAGAGAAACCACCGGGGTTATGTAACAGTGCCTAACCATAGCGGCAACTCTGAGCATGTCACTGCATAGTTCTAGTGCTCACACCATAGAAGTCATCGGAGTTTTAGAATAGTGCACATGTCAGTGGTGCCTAAATTCAAAAGGGCAACGTATTAGGTGCACAAAACAAGATAAGCTGCAATCTGGGGCAAACTAAAACCAAAATTGACATCCATAAAATTGAACTAAAATTAACAAATAGAAACTAGAAACTAAAGTAGACACGATAAAAAACAAATAACTAAAATATAAGACTGAAACTGGAATTGACAATCAGAAAATAATACTCAAATTGAAAATTAAAATATGAAAATTAAAGTAAACACAATGAAAAACAAAAAACTGAAACATATTACACAAACTGAAATTACCGGAAACTAAAATTGACAATCAGAAAATAAAACTGAAATTGACAAATAGAAACTAAAAACTAAAGTAGACACATAAAAACAAAAAACTAAAACACAAGACTGAAATAGAAATTGACAATAAGAAATAAAACTTAAATTGATGGATAGAAAAAAAACTAAAGAAAACATAATGAAAAACTAAAACTAAAACTAAAACATATTACAGAAAATGAAATTACTAGAAAATAAAACTAAAATTGACAACTAGAAATTTGAACAGTTAATGACAAATACAAACTCAAAACTAAAGTGGACACAATAAAAAACAAAAAACTGAAACGTATGACTGAAACAGAAATCGACAACTAGAAAATTAAACTGAAATTAACAAATAGAAAAATGAAAATTAAAGAAAAAACATTCCGCAAAATACGTAAATACTTATCATAATACTCGGATCAGCAAGAAAACACAAAAAATTGTCAACCCGGGGCCTCAACAATACTAATCCATTCCGCAAATTCATTTAAAATTATGTGCTTCTGTCAAGTGTAATTTTGAGTATGCGGTAAGTTTTTTTTAGCAAGTGGCCACTTATTTTGATTACCATAATCTATAAAATACGTAAGTAGCTACTATATATACAACGTAAGTAACCACTATAAAAGAATATATTTTAAAATATAGGCATCATGGGTCTAGTTTTATAGATCTCATCATAAGAAATACAATGGTGCACCGAATAATAACAATGGACTAAGTATAAGAAAGTTATCATATTTTTAAAAGAAAGAAAGCAAAACAAAAATGTATGGAGCAGCCTATCTCCATCTCTCATGAGGAGCAGATGTTCGCTTGTTGGTTTTAGCCAGGCTTATCAGCTAGCCAATAGTGTTTTCCTCTCACAATAAACCAGCACCAGTCAGGCTTATCAGTTCAGAAACCAATCGGCGAACATGCTGACTATATCTCATGGTCTACACTCACATGCACTGGGCGACGGGCCAGATCGTATGGCGTGAATCATGCAAACACTATCAAATGGTATACGCACGCATGCACTAGGCGGGCCAGGCCGCATGGTCGCTGGTCGCGCAGAAGCGCGACGGGTCGTCACTTAGAGTTTCCGAAACACAAACGTGAGAAACAACGAGAACCAAGTTGGATAAGCTAGAGAAGTAACTTTAGCGTGATTGCTTTCGAAGCCCTTAGACTGTCTCCAACCGAGTACGCATAAGGGTACCCATACCCAAAATGAGTGACGCACAGTAGAAAACATGCCTCCAACCGAGTACGCAAATCAGCTACCTATTTTGCCTTCGAAGAGAGAGGGAACCCAAAAAAGGGTCGTTCTCTCTCCACGACGCATCTCCAGCCGGCGTGGAGGTCGCGCGGGTTCGCAGGCGGGTGGCCGAGCTCCGCCGCCCCATCACCGGCCGCGCGAGGTCCCAGATCCGACTGCGCAAGGTCCGGCTCCTCCCCTCCCCGACGGCGTGCGGGCCTCTGCCCCCTCACCGGCCGCCGCTTCTTCCCGGCGGCGCATGTAGGTACAGCTCCTTCCCGGCGGCGCGCGAGGTCCTTCCCAGCGGCGGCGCGAGCTCCTTCCCCATGTTCGGCGGCGCGCGAGCTCCTTCCCCTTGCCCGGTGCGAGCTCTTCCCATGGCCAGCGCGGGCTCCTTCCCCATGCATGGCGCCGTGCGCCGGTTCGCCGAGGTCTACGGGGAGGGGATTTGCGTTCTCACCGTTGGAGAAATGTAGGTTTTGGGTGGGAATGCTTTCACTGTACATGACCCAAAGGTGGTGTGTTTTGGGTCATCTTGTTGGAGATAGTCTTATAGGCGGATGGGCCCATAAAACAGCAATGTTGAGTCCAACAAGAAAACATCAATATCTTGTTACTGCCTCCCGAGCGCTATTCGGCACACGCTTCGCGTCCGGCCGTTCGAAACCGAAGATTTCCTTCGCGTGGAAAACAAAGGGAACCGGGCTTCGATCCCCAACCGGCTGGGCTTCCAAACAGCGAAAAACTGAGCCGGGGGAGATTGTGCCGGATCCCCGCAGGGATTTGGGCTGCCAAAGTAGCCCTTAGATTCAGAAAATCTCCATACAAGTATTTTTCAGTACACTACATTATTATTCCTGCCTATATATATACACATATTATAGAGCCACCCGGAAAGGTTACTGCAATACAGGCAGTCCAAGAAATCTGTACACTTCCAGGTACCACACGTAATACACAATCACAATACAATGGGCCCCCATACAATAGCAATGCAGTGCTGATTCCTGAAGACACCCAGGCGTCCACTTCAGTCTCAGGCAAAGATGTAGACCTCCTCAAACGATTTCCTACCAAGAATACATGCATTAGTCTAGCTGATGAATGGATTGTACATCGGTTTGGGGGTAAAGATTAAAGATACAGAGACTCACGATTTTTTTCCGCTAAATGTTGGGCTGTAGTTGTAAATTAAGTTATCCAGCACTTTATCGGCAGGAGGCCTGTTTGGAGACTTGCGCGCTTGGCTGTTTCACGACACAGAGAAGGGTGAGGTAAGCATGAACTCCATTTTTCTTTCATCGCTCTTGCAAGTTTCATTAAAGCAAGGTCCTTTCTTGCATATGCTTAAACCAAGACATCAAAGCACTACTACGACCAGAATTCCTGAGAAGGAACACTCTAAAACTTGGGTTTATTTATTTAGAAAACAGAAGTTTCAAAGGTAAGAGAACAACAGAGTGACTGACAACCAAAGAAAAGGCCTTAAGTCTTTCACCAATTTCTGGTACATCTCCACAAAATAATGATAAAGAGGGTGGGTAGATCATGAAATAACCAGATGAAATATTGCCAACTTGAATTGTATAATAAAGGTTCCATCCTACAACAACAAACCTGATAAAATGATTGGCAAAATGTTGAGTAACCTGTACTGCATCTTCGCTGTGTGGAATCATTGGTTTCCTCCACTCGAAAATGGCTTTCTGCATTAAGTGAGCACAATTTTATAGTTGAATAAAGCCATTGGTATCTGGTGAGTGGCCACAATTTGATATGTTGTGAATATTAGAAAAAATGCAGTGCACAAGAAAAAGGCAGAACCAATAAGAACACAATACGGAACTCCCAAAACAACTACAACTAAAATACCTCAGGATGCCATTGCGTGCAAGTGATTGGATAGTTATTGGCTTGTACAGTTGAGACATAGACCTGATTTGACAGAAAAGAATGTTAATCTGTGCAGTGGAAGAATTAAAGGGCATTAACCCAAAGAAAAAACTCGGCCGGTGGGGGAAAGACCGACCCACGGTTTTTATACTAAGAAGAAGCTCTCAATACACCAGCTGAGAAAATCCCTGAACCCCGGCCTCATCCTAGGAACATAGGGCCAACCACCCAGGTAGGATGCACTGTTACCTAGCCGGCGACCACTGCCACAACCCCCTGGTTGGGCCGCACCGTTACCTAGGTCAGCGACCACCGCCACAACCCCTGGTTGGTCTGCACCATTATCACAGGTTGGGGTGTCCACAGCGGGGAGGCGAGGTATGGTGAGGGGATTTTTTTTTAATTATTTTTCACAAATTGTGCAGCACCCAGATCACCTACTTTGGAAATATTTGCAAATTTCATCAAAGCTGTTCCATTTATACTAATCACATAACACCTTCCAGATAGATTAGTATGTAGGAGCACAAGTGTGACATACCTTGCCGTTTTCATCAGGCGACGTAGTCAAGATTTTGAAGAAACTTGATAGTGCACCATTCTCTCGATATCGCTTTGGTGATATACCATACTTCAACCAAATAACAAATCAGACTTGTTAGGATAAAGATGTTATCAGAATCACCAGCCATAATAGGATTGAGCCCAGTGCATTAAAGTAGGTGTGGTGTTGAAATTAAAAAAAAGGACGAAGAAGTAACCACAACCAATGGTGGTACTTACTCTATGATTTTGCATGACAAGACAGCTGGTGCTGACTTTCTTGATGAGGTCAGGGTCAAACCTGTGAGCAGTTGCCAGTCAGTAGTTACAACAAGTGGAATTCATGAAACCACAAGTAAAACGATAATTTTTAATAGACTAGCCACATCTTCTCATAAGAAATTTATTTCCAGCCATTCTTTTAAATTAACTGCGCTCTATTGGAGTGCATTTGGTCATGTAGTCCCCTGCCTTTTAGGGACCCATTGTAGATAAAATTATGTTTTAGTAGTCATTTATGAAGCTATCTGAATGCATAAATATGTCAGCTTAACCCATTTGCATATTCTACAGTTGGTAACACAGTAATAAAAAGATGTTATTCCATGGGAACCATTCTATAACATTTACTTGCCTCATATCACACTACAAGATAACTTATCTAAATTCTAAATGTCCCCATCAAGCAGTAGCAAAATAAAGACTTGCTCAGCATGAAGCAGACACCTTTGAAACACTGAGCCCTCCAAAGCATAGCTGGGAAACTGAAGAGTGGATGCTTGATTCTGGGCATCAAACGTCTCCAAGATATTATTGTCCTAGCACAATGGCAAGAAAACAATTAGTGCCCACTTTTGGCAAAGCAAACAGGAATGAATCATGGTGCCTTCATGGAATAGAAGGCTGCAGCACTTTGCTCCAGTACCTAACAACAGGCAAGCAAATGATATTCTAACTTCAAACTAAGCATTACTCTTCCATCATGTGTATAGTTTTTATAGATTTCATAATTGACAATAATTAATAAGCTATCATATTATCTTTTATATTTCAGTAATTGAATTGGCAAATATGATAAATTTCTGAGAAGTTAAATTACCTTGCTGACAATCATACTTACAAGCTGAAAGCCAAGACATTGGGCAAACAAAGGAAATGGTTCACCTGCGTCATTCTTGTCCAAAACATACTAAAATGAAAAAAGAGAGGATCTGTTAGAGTAAATCATAATTGTTCAGGCTGGAGCATGTAGCATAGACAGTCCAAGGTTGTAATACTCAAGTGCTCTCATGCAATCATCAACATCATTATATCAATTTCGAACAATGTTCAAAATCACATTGTACCTGAAATATTTTTTTTATCGTCTCAAAATATACACCTTGCTTCTCTGATCCACCAGTGAACAGCACTCCATTCAGCAAACTCAGTTTCTGCAGGGAAGAGTCAACAAGTTAATATGTTAAACGCAGGGCCTCCACAAGCAATTGTTTGTAAGCCAGTAGCCAGTGCGGTGAGAGGTCCTGATTGAAAGGGAAGGAAGAATCGCCAGTAGCTTGGGGACCTGGGGACCCCATTCATATCTAAAATATACAAATACTCCTGAGTAGGTTGCTTAGGCTTGAAACAATTTACTCCAACAACTATCTCGATTTGTGATTGGTGACCCTATTAGTGAAAGTCTCCTGGACATGTTCATCAAGAAATTTTGGCACTTGGGAAATTTCCTAAATAATCAGGACTTCAGTACCACCATATGTTGAGGGGCATCAGCCGAGAGAGATTCAGATTATCCCATTTCGAATTCCCCTCCCGAGAATTCTGAACTCTCAAGGACTGCTGTAGCAAAATACTATAGCGAAGAGTGAGAATTGACCAGAGCTGTGGTGGGGCAAGAGCATATTTGCCCATATCCCAGTTCGCGTAATCGCATATGCAAATGGAAGCATGAAACGTGTACGCTGCAGCAAAATACTATAATGAACAGTGAGTGCACATCGAAGCTACTTCGACGATGCGTTGCCTATCCAGGACGCGACCGGGGGAAAAGAGGAAAGGATAGAAACCGGCGGAGGGGCGAGCGTGTGAAGCACGCACCTCGAGGAGGCGCTCCTCGGGCTCGTTGTAGATGAGCGGGATGACGCGCGCGCCGGCTGCCTCGACGAACTTGACGTAGGAGGCGCTGATGTAGGAGGTCGCGGTGGTGTTGCTGATCCTGCCGCCCGCGCCGTCCCCCGGGTGCGAGACGATGCCGATGACGGGGCGGTCGTACACGGCGGGGTCCGGCGCCGCGCAGGCCACGGCCCCCGCTCTCCCGCCCGTCGGCAGCCGGATGACCCCCGCCGCCGTCGCCACCCCCGACGACGGCGGGAGGAGGAGGGGGAGGAGCAGGAGCAGGTGGGGGCAGCGCGAGTCCATTGGCAACACTGGCTGGCGTGCGTCGCCCGCCCGTGTCTGTGTGACTCACTGTCTGACGGACGCGAGACGGCGGACCGGTTATTAAAGAAGCTACGGGGGCACCGGAGCCGTCGGCTCCAGCCGTCACCCGTCGCTTTCGTCGCTCCCCGGCTCGCTGACGGCATCGTCTTGGGCCGATTATTTTGGAACTTCAGCTTGGCCAGATTGGGCATTAGCATTACCGACGAGTAGCCGGAGAACATCGTTTCTGAAGCAGTCAAGCCATCCCGAATCCGCAGCGTTTGTCTTTTTTTTTTTTTGAAAAGTCGCAGCGTTTGTCTGTTGTCGCGTCGCAGACGGAAAGGACTAGCTACAGCCTACAGCGTTCATGGCGCATTGCCGTGTTGCACGGTTGCACCGTCGGTTGCCACTCGTTAACCTTTTTTTTTTCTTCCATCCAGTCTACTAGTGATAACATGACTGTGATCCCGTGCCATCACTGAAAGGTGCCTGTCGTCGGTTTTGTAAGGCAGTACTTGTTCTCTTGTAGACCCAAAGTACTTCTTCGCTTTGCCAGAGGGGTTCAACCAATCAACCGTTCAAGAAGCTGGATTATTTCAACCCTAAATTCTATTGTCAAGGTGATGAAAAAAATCATTTGCCTGGCATGGCCAATCTAAATTATATTTCCAAGGTGATGAAAAGAAATCGTGTGCCTAAGGGCATGCATGGCTAATGCAGACATACAATAGTGGCGGTTTCATTCAAAAGTAGTATGTCCATGTATAGGAATTAAAACTTCAATATACTATCTTTTCAACACAAGCTTACTTTTGTCGGGATTGCTATCTGCTGTCCGTTTTTTGGCAGCACACGATTTTTTGTCCATCCGACGATGGAGGGCCGGAGCCATCAAGCTACTCTCGCTATCCGATGGGTCCACCTCTCTCCCTTTGTCCCAGAGCTCTTCTCCATTTCCCCTCTCCCCTCTCTCTCTCGCCGCTGGGAGTGTGTGGCAGGGGCTACTATGCCATAGGGTTTCATGAAGACACATCATCGCGCCCTTGGCGGGCGATCTGGGCTCGATCCGGCCGCCTACGACTACATGGAGTCGTGGCATTAGTATGAAAGCTGGGTGGACTGGACCGGGACATACTGGGCCACTTCCACTTACCACTGCTACTTCGGCAGACGAAGCCTCGCTGGCTGCCTGTGTGTGGACCTTGCTCTCCCTTTCGCTTGGGCGAAAGCGAGCCAAACCTTTGGTGGGTCTTCTATCTTAGCGGTGTGGAGATCTCGCGGGGAGCTCCAGAGCTTAGATCACGGGTTGATGGATTCAGCGATTGGTTTTGATGGCCGTTCAGACATTTTGTTGGTGTGTGAGAGTGGGGAGCATCGCGTATTGCATAAGAAATTCTAGTGTCTCAGGCTCAATTTCACAACACACGGTTGGATGTCGTTGGGATTCCACGAGGAATGAGCTTTGCTTTGGGGTTGTTTCCTGGTGCGGTGGGAATCGTCCCGCTCACATTTGGTTTAGCATAGTCTTGAGAGAGAATTTCTTTGATCTCGCTAGTGGCGTGATTTCACTCAACTTCGTGGTTACTTGATTCATGTTTGCTTTGGTTTTCATTGGGAAGCATTTTCCCTGTTCAATGAGGTGGTAATCGAGTGATTATCATGCATCGATGCTTGTGTGTGGTGTCGCTTTGGTGGGAGATGCATTTATGCATTTGGCAGGTCTTTCTGCACTAGTGTAGTGGGGCCAAGCAGAACTCGTGATACTTCTCGAATTCCTTACAAGAAATGAAAGTGGCATTTTGCCCAATTGGGACCTTGTCTAATCTAGTTGGATCTGACAAATGGGTGCCCCATTCCCAATCAGTTTGTCCAAGTCTTCAATTGTTCAAAATTGAACTATTTTGTGTGGGTGTCTTAAAAACAAAAAGCAAAGTATAATCTAGCCCCTCTTTATCCAATTGTATAGGTTCATCGTAATACCATAATGGATGATGTTAAAACTTCTCTGGTTCAAGTTCGGTCCGCTTCCTGCTAGTTTTGTTCAATTGTTGCTTTCTTTGACAATATCAATGAGGAGTCTTGATAACTTGCTTTCTTGTCAAGAAAAAAATTGCAAATAGTGCATATGGTAATTTTCATGTCTAAAGCCCCCCATCTTCCCGAGACCCTTAATTAAGTCCATTTTTCCCCTTATATATGTCCAATGGCATTTCATGGGAATATTAGTTATTGGCTATGTTTTCTTTTATGTTTATTACTTAGGTTTGCACGTTGTTTTTTAATATAAAATAGCAATCGCCCATCTCTCTAAAGATCACGCTTAACGATATTTAGAACATATTTCTCCTAATGATTTACTTAATCAAGCAGAAATGCAAATCTTAAACACCTTAATTTCACCTAGCTCACTTCATTTGTATTTGTGAAATATTAACGTATAGATGGCGTTATATGCGAGTTCTCTCAAGCACTTCAAGAAATGGGAACTTGTTTGCTTAAAGAGTTATTACACCAAATAAGGATGGAATAAATGGTAATTATGTCATGTCTTGTTTTTTTTTTTCTTTGTGAACATGCTTGTTTTGGTAATTGATGGCAATGCATGTGCATCATTATAATGCTTATTCTAGATTATGATAGATTATTGTCATTAAACTCATTAGAAGGCGTGCCTGGTGCAAATGGTGAGAGTCTGTCACTGTGTCGCTGGGTTTGAAACCCTCTCCGCAGATTTTATGGGGAAGGCTTGCCTTGGTTTTTCCTTTCCCTGCACCCCACTCATGTGGGAGCCTCCTGCACTAGGTCTCGCTTTTTTTTATTGTCATTAAACTCATTATCCCGAGGGTTTCAAAGCTATTAACTTGATATTCGTAAAGTCTTATACCAATGCCTCGTATGGGGTCTCATGTCTATATAAGTTTTGGAGTCTCTTTACAAATTTCAGTCCTTTTGTAAAGTGGTGCAATTATCTAGAAAAGGCATTTGGGTTTGATGATATCAAATCCTCTTGTGATTGTTTGTCACAAAAGGAAAAAAATGCCATGTTACAAAACTTAGTTGAATAACCTCATGGTCTTGGATCTGCCGTTAGGCTCTTCAAGGAGGATGAGAGTGAGTTAACCAAAAATAAAATTACACTAGACATCTTTACTTCTGGTCACTAGACTGTCTTATTAAGAAAAAAAGAAGACAAAGAAATATAACAAAGAAATATTTGTCTTTGTTTTTCCGTAGTAAAAATTGTATTCTCAAATTGTGATTGTGCCAAACACACCTAGGACCTTCCTTGTTCTAAAATGTAGCTAATAATGGCATAAATGATCCTGTGATTTCAAATAGATGTTCCCCATCTCTTTGTTTTGCGTATCAACTCTTAAATATTAAGTCTTAAGTCACCATAGTGACCATTTGTCTTTATACTATGTGAGGGTGATCATGTAAGACTGTACTTTTTCTATACTAGGTAACAAAAACTGACTTTCTATGTCCCAGCTTTGTGAATCCTGGTTATTTTTTGTGAAATGTTGCCAAAACTTCTTGTTCAAGTTCCAATTTGCATGCTTAATGATATCGATATTACTCTAATGAATACGTAAAATGGCATCGGATTTCCTATAACTACATTGTCCCCGCCGTTGGAAGAGTTGGCTTAAGATTTGATTTGATTTCGAGAGAGCTGAGTTTGTGCAGAGGTAGATAAAAGAAGCTACCCGATGGATCTTCTTCATGCACAAAGAGATACAGAAAGGTAATAATTCACTATCGCTTTTTTTGTTCTCATAGTTTATATTTGTGTACTTATTTTCTTGTATCTTTTCATTGTACTAAACTCTCACGCTTGTCCTTGTGGAAACCAAGAGGGTGCTAGATTATGATTCTTGCATCTTTTAAGCATGTTGCATATACCGTAGTAGTAGAATAGTAGGAGCTCACATCTTTTAATTGATGTTGCATATACTATACAAGAAAGTTTGTTTAGTATCCATTTCTTGATTGTAGATCTATAAGTAGTAAATTGCAATCAACAATAATGTAAATTGCAATATCGGGCACCGCAATTATAGTTCTCGAGCGCGATGCAATATGCTTGTGTTGAACCATCCAAATATTGATCTTGGTCATCCCTATGCTTCTTTCGTTTGCCTATATTTGTTACACCATTTGTAGGTGCTTACTACATCCAATCTATATATTTATCCCTCAAATTTTGAAGCTAGAAAATAAAGCTTCACTTGTGTGTGTGGTTAATGGAGGAGAATGGATAATACTTTATCTATATTCATGACAAGCAGCCAACTCTCAACAAAGGTATGATGTCATCAAGTTCAATTATTTGGCTTGGTTGTTACTATTCTTCTTGTTGGTTTGTAAATAAATATGAGCATCTTGTCAACTATCGATCGTGTTCGATATTCTGATTTTGTAAGATAACATTCATAAGATTTTTACTTGTAAGATAAATATGTCGATATTTTTCTTGTTTGTTCCTTGAAGCTAAAACAACATTTTGGTGTGTTTCGGTATATTAGTCTTTGTTCATCCATCCATTTTCTCATCTTGATGCTTCAAATGATCTCGCTTTGCTTGGTTATGTGCAGCTTCTGTAGGAGTGTCCTTGTGCTATGTTATATTCTACTTTGTCAGTGACACGACTTTAACCCTTATTGAATGGTAATATAAGCCTCTATAGAAGTGTCAAGTGCCAACTTTGTTCTACATGATTAGGTTATCTGTACAAAATCTGCTATATATTGGAACATTGTTAGAATGTCATTTATCGATATTTGGGTAATCGTATTTATCACTCTATCTCATACTACTTGGAGTTTCATAATTGCAATCACCGATAATATAAATTGCGTATATTGGGCAATCGCAATTGTAGTTCTTAGCATATGTAATTTTAGATCTAGGCATAATTTAATTTAAGGTTTGTAACATCCTGCTCATTACAAGTCATCCTTGTCGGCTTTACCAATGTTGTGCATGTCTGTCCGCTT